CAAGATTGATTCTAAATCATTTTGCAAATCAGCCACAGCCTTCAAGAGAGTTAAGAAGAATAAAATAAAGTCAGGACATGAAATGATTAATAATAAAAGTTGGAAAACCATATTTTTTTTATGGTTTTTATACAGCTACAGCCTGTAGTCCCAGCTGCTTGGGAGACTGAGGTGGGAGGATCACTTGAGCCCAGGAGTTTGAGGCCAACCTAGGCGACATAGCAGGACTCTGTCTCTAAAAACTTAAAAAAAGTTTTAGATCAGGTAAATTACTTAAAATTTATTGATGTAATTAAAACAAAACCTACACACTCTCATAGACCTAGAGAACTAAAACTTCATTATGCTTCCTATGCTTCAAAAGTCATTTTTCTGGTATATTATTGGGGTTTGAGTAAACACTTAGTAAATGATGTCTAAAAATGACTTTCTTTTACAAGGGGAGGCTCTCAGTTCATGAAAAGACTTCCTCATTTTTTGGTTTCTTGTTTTTACTTTCATCAGATATTATGAAGATCTGAAAAGCTCAAAAAGTTTAAATATTAAATGAATGACATAGCCATCAGTCAGAAAGTCGAAGTGATCAATAACTTAGTGTTCCATGAAATGGATATTGAATTTTGGTATTAAAAATTGTCTACCACTCATGGGTGTGAAAACTGGTATACATTTTCTGGGATGGAGGGATGGCAACATCTATCAAAGCTTTAAAATGTCCAAATTATTCATCTGGAATTTCTACCACTATATGTTTAATTAATTAATTTTTTGAGACAGGATCTTGCTCTGTTGCCCAGGCTGGAGTGCAGTGGCACGATCACAGCTCACTGCACTCACTGCAGCCTCAACCTCTCTGGCTCAGGCAATTCTCCTACCTCAGCTTTCCAGGTAGTTGGAACTACAGGTGTGCACCACCATACCTGGCTAATTTTTTGTATTTTTTTGTAGACACAGGCTTTCACTCTGTTGCCCAGGCTGACCTCAAACTCCTGAGCTCAAGCAGTCTGCCCACTGTGGCCTCTCAAAGTGCTGGGATTATAGGCATGAGTCACCACGCCCAGCCTCAACCCCTGGGTATTTAATTCAAGGAAATAAGTGGCAACTATGCCACAAAGTATACCCAAAGCTGTTTATTTAGCTGTTGTGTATAATAGCAAAAATTGTGAAATCACCTAATAGGTTAAATGAATTGTAGTACATCTATATAATGAAGTACTATGTGGTTTTAAAATGGTGTTGCTAAGTTTCAATTAAGGTATAAACAGGTTATAAAACGGTGTTCAATTCAGGTAATAAAATGGTGTTGCTGAGTTTCAGTTCAGGTATAAAATGGTGTTTCTAAGTTTCAATTCAGGTATAAAAGTGGATTTTTTTGGGGGGGAAAATGATGTATCTTTATTGCATGCCATATTCATAACATTAGCGTATAATATCATGTAAAGGAACCAGAAAATATGAATAAACGGTTAAAGAATCAGTTTATATGTATGTATATATATGCATATATATAGTATCCCAGCACTTTGGGAGGCTGAGGCGGGCAGATTACCTGAAGTCAAGAGTTCAAGACCAGTCTGGGCAATGTGGCGAAACCCTGTCTCTACTAAAAATACAAAAATTAGCTGGGTGTGGTGGTGTGTGCCTGTAATCCCAGCTACTTGGAAGGCTGAGGCAGGAAAATTGCTTGAACCCAGGAAGTGGAAGTTGCAGTGAGCCAAGATCCCACCACTGCACTACAGCCAGGGTAAGACTCTGTCTCAAAAAACAAACAAACAAACAAAACCATATATTTTTATTTATTTATTTTTCTTTCTGCTCCTTGGGGAGCAGGGCTACTTCATAGGAAGTGTGTTCAGAATAGCCAAAAAACCATGTTTTTAAATGCTGGCCAGATATGCATTGGCTCACACCTGTAATCCCAGACATTTGGGAGGCTGAGGAGGGAGGATTGCTTGCACCCAGGAGTTCAAGACCAGCCGGGGCAACATAGAGAGACCCTATCTCTACCAAAAATTTAAAAAATTAGCCAGGTGTAGTGGTGCATGCCTGTGGTTCCATCTACTTAGAATGCTGAGGTGGGAGGACTGCTTGAGCCCCTGGGGTTGAGGTTGCAGTGGGTCATAATCGTGCTGCTATACTCTAACCTGGGCCTCACAGTGAGATCCTGTCTTAAAAAAAAAATAGTAAAAGTAATTAAATGCTAACAGCTTTTCTCTGGGTGGTAGAATTTGAGGGTAGTATTTGCCTGCCTGCTTGCTTGCTTTTTTCCTTTCCTTCCTTCTTTCCTTCCTTTATTTCTTTTTCTTTCCCTCTCCTTCCCTCCCTCCCTTCCTTCCTTCCTTCCTCCTTCTTGGTCTTACTCTGTCATTTAGGCTGGAGTGCAGTGGCATGATCATGGCTCCCTGCAGCCTTGACCACCCAGGCTCAAGCAATCTTTTTACCTCATCATCCTAAGTAGCTGGGATTGCAGGTATGTACCACTGCACCTGGCTAATTTTTTTATTTTTTGTAGAGATGGGATCTCACTATGCTGCCCAGGCTGAGCTTAAACTCCTGGACTCCAGTAATCCTCCTGCCTCGGCCTCCCAAAGTGCTGGGATTATAAGTGTGTGCTACCATGCTCAGCTAATAGTTCCTTTATAGTTTTCCTTTATCTTTCTATTTATTTGTCTTTTTAATTAAAATTTCTATTTTTCAGTTACACTGGATCTTTATATTTTTCTGTTTTTTGTTGTTGTTGTTGTTGTTGTTTTTTGAGGCAGGGTCCCACTTTGTTGCCCATGCTGGAGTGCAGTGGCACAATCTCAGTCACTGCAGCTGCCACCTCCTGAGCCCAGGTGATCCCCCTACTTCAAGTCTCCTAGTAGCTAGGACTACAGCATGTGCCACCACGCCCAACTAATATTTTATGGAGGTGGAGTTTTGCCATGTTGTCCAGGCTGGTCTCGACCTCCTGAGCTCAAGCGATCTGCCTGCCTTGGCCTTCCAAAGTGCCAGCATTACAGGTGTGAGCCACTGCGCCCGGTCATACATTTTCTTTCTTTAACTTCCTGTTTTTTTAAAGTAGTAAAGCTAATAAAAATAGCTTGTTGAAAGAGGATACAATATTTGTGTTGTCCCATCTGGAAATGAAGTCAGAAACTTGCTTCCATGTTTGTAGTGCTTCTCTAAGAGCTCATTCCTCACAACCTATACACAACAGAAAAGAAAAGACACTTGTTTCGGATATGCAGTAGTAAGTACGACAACAATGCACATCAGCTGGTTACTAGACAGTGATACAAATCATTTCTTAATTTAAACTTTGGCCCTACTCAACAACAGGAGACAATCCTTAACAATTATATATAGACTGTCCCTAACCCTTGTAAGTATAACTTGATAAAAATCCTTCAGGAAAAAAAAAAAAAAAAAAAAAAAATCCTTCTGGTAGAAATCTGATATTACATGTCTATTTGAATTTTTTTTTTTTTTTTTTTTTACTTTATACACGTTACTATAAGAACAAAACAAAAGCAGATAAAACCCAGCCCCAGCACAAAGTGCAGTGCCACTGCTGTCATAAGTCAGATATTCATGCATGCATGAGTCTTTCTGGACTCTATTATGTATATGGATTTTCTTGTTTATCCTGCCACAATACTATACTCTCTTAATTACTGTATTTTGTGATAGGTCTTAATATCTGGTAGAACACATTCTCCTCTCCTCAGCCTCTTCTTCAACAGTGTTTTGGTTACTCTATGTTCTCTATGTTTCCACATGCATTTTAGAATCAACTTGTTGGGACTTCCCTTCCCCCAATACCACACATATGCAATCTTGTTAGAATCTGAGATTGTATTGGATCTATAGATCACTCTGGAAAGAGTGATCTGATCAAAGAGTGTCATCCTTAAAATATTTCCTCTGCCCATCCATGAACATTAGGCCAAATTTGTTAAATGGATTGCACCCCCTTCCTTGTTTTTTTTTTTTTTGTTGTTGTTGTTTGTTTTTTTTTTGCTCTAGTAGTCAGTTACTGAAAGAGGTAGGGCCAGGCACAGTGGCTCACACCCATAATCCCAGTATTTTGGGAGGCCGAGGCAGGTGGATCACCTGAGGTCAGAAGTTCAAGACTAGCCTGGCCAACATGGTAAAACCCTGTCTTCACTAAACGTACAAAAGTTAGCTGTGCGTGGTGGCTGGTGGGATTACATACCTGTAATCCCAGCTACTTGAGAGGCTGAGGCAGGAGAATCACTTGAACCTGGGAAGCAGAGGTTGCAGTGAGCTGAGATCATGCCACTGCACTCCAGCCTGGGCAACATAGCAAGACTCTGTCTCAAAAAAAAAAAAAAAAAAAAAAGTAGGCTAAACTATCTCATTATGAATATGGTTTTCTTTATTTCTCCTTTTACTTCTGTGAAATTTTGCTTCATATATATATTTTTTTTCCCCATTTATTTTATTGCATTTTACGTTTTGGGGTACATGTGAAGAACATGCAAAATTGTTGCATAGGAACACACGTGGCAGTGTGATTTGCTGCCTTCCTCCCCATCACCTACATCTGGCATTTCTCCCCTTGCTATTGCTTCATATATTTTTGAGGCTGTGCTAATAAGGACAACATATTTTATAATGCTGTATCTTCCTGGTAGATTGGAAATTTTATTAATTAAAAAGAGATCGGCCGGGCGCGGTGGCTCACGCCTGTAATCCCAGCACTGTGAGAGGCCGAGGTGGGCGGATCACAAGGTCAAGAGATTGAGACCATCCTGGCCAACATGGTGAAACCCCGTCTCTACTAAAAATACCAAAATTAGCTGGGCGTGGTGGTGCGTGCCTGTGGTCCTAGCTACTGGGGAGGCCGAGGCAGGAGAATTGCTTGAACCCAGGAGGTGGAGGTTGCAGTGAGCCGAGATTGTGCCACTGCCCTCCAGCCTGGCACCTGGTGACAGAGCAAGACTGTGTCTCAAAAAAAAAAAAACAAAAAAAAAAAAGAGATATTTTTTATCTTTTTTTTTTTTTTTTTTTTTTTTTGGCTGAGCACAGGGGACTTTATTGATGGTACACGACAAGGTGGGGCTCCCTAGGCCCCTCCGTCTTCAAGGGGTCTGCATGGAAACCGTGAGGAGGGGCAATTCAGTGTGGTGGGGGACTCAGTGTGGCGGGGACTCAGTGTGGCGGGGACTCAGTGTGGCAGGGACTCCCCAGCAGTGAGGGCCTGTCTTCCTCTCGTGCTCTCGCTGGGGCTGGTGGTCCAGGGATCTTATTCCTTGGAGGCTATGTGGGACATAAGGTCCACCACCCTGTTGCTGTAGCCAAATTCATTGTCATACCAGGAAATGAGCTTGACGAAGTGGTCGTTGAGGGCAATGCCAGCTCCAGCATCGACGGTGGAAGAATGGGTGTCACTGTTGAAGTCAGAGGACACCACCTGGTGCTCAGTGTAGCCCAGGATGCCCTTGAGGGGGCCCTCCGACACCTGCTTCACCACCTTCTTGATGTCATCATATTTGGCAGGTTTTTCTAGATGGCAGGTCAGGTTCACCACTGACACGTTGGCAGTGGGGACACAGAAGGCCGTGCCAATGAGCTTCCCATTCAGCTCAGGGATTACCTTGCCCACGGCCTTGGCAGCGCCAGTAGAGGCAGGGATGATGTTCTGGAGAGCCCCACGGCCATCATGCCACAGTTTCCCGGAGGGGCCATCCACCATCTTCTGGGTGGCAGTGATGGCGTGGACGGTGGTCATGAGTCCTTCCATGATACCAAAGTTGTCATGGATGACCTTGGCCAGGGGTGCTAAGTAGTTGGTGGTGCAGGAGGCATTGCCGACGATCTTGAGGCTGTTGTCATGATTCTCATAGTTCACGCGCATCACGAACATGGGGGCAACAGCAGAGGGGGCAGATATAATGACCCTTTTGGCTCCCCCCTGCAAGTGAGCCCCAGTCTTCTCCACAGTGGTGAAGACGCCAGTGGACTCCACCACGTGCTCAGTGCCAGCATAGCCCCACTTGATTTTGGAGGGATCTTGCTCCTGGAATATGGTGATGGGATTTCCATTGATGACAAGCTTCCCGTTCTCAGCCTTGACAGTGCCATGGAATTTGCCATAGGTGGAATCATACTGGAACATGTAGACCATGTAGTTGAGGTCAATGAAGGGATCATTGATGGCAACGATATCCACTTTACCAGAGTTAAAAGCAGCCCTGGTGACCAGGCGCCCAATACGACCAAATCCGTTGACTCTGACCTTCACCTTCCCCATGATGTCTCAGGGATGTGGCTGGTGACGGGAGACAAGATGCGGCTCCCTGTCGAATAGGAGAAGCAGAGAGCCTTTATCTTTATCTTATAAAGTGATCCTCTTATCTTTATCTTACACTTTCATTTTTCTTTCTTTTTTTGTTTTTGTTTTTGTTTTGTTTTGTTTTGTTTTGAGACAGAGTCTTGCTCTATTGCCAAGGCTGGTGTGCAGGGGTATGATCTTGGCTCATTGCAACCTCCACCTCCTGGGTTCAACCGATTTTCCTGCCTCAACCTCTCAAGTAGATGGGATTACAGGTGTGTGCCACCACACCTGGCTAATCTTTGTATTTTTAGTAGCAATGGGATTTCACTATGTTGGTCACACTGGTCTCAAACTCCCTACCTCAGGTGATCTGCCTGCTTTGGTCTCCCAGAGTGCTGGGATTACAGGTGTGAGCCACTGCATCTGACCTATCTTACAGTTTCTTGAAATATATTTTAACTGCGTATAGAATTCTAGATTGGCCATTGTTTTCTTCCACCATACTTAAGACATTCCATTGCCTTTGAGCCTCTACTGTTGGCTGTTGGGAGGTCATCTGCTAGTCTGTTTTCTTTTCAATGTAATCTGAACCCTGAACTTTTATTCCCTCTGCTACTTCTAAGATTTTTTTCTTTTTCTTTCTTTTTTTCTTTCTCTTTCTTTCTTTCTTTCTTTCTTCTCTCTTTCTTTCTTTCTTTCTTTCTTTCTTTCTTTCTTTCTTTCTTTCT